CTCTTTATAGGTTCAAGCTACCGTTACACTCTCTAAAGAAGTCATTCACCTGAAAGAAACTATCACTATAAGGCAGGGGTGTCCAAACTTTTTTCACCGAGGGCCACATACAGAAAAATATACGAAGGGCTGGGCCACTCCCTAGAGATGAGGTATATTGCCTCTAAAGTTTAGTAATAAGTTGGAAAAATCAATCCAATGTAGGTAAATTATTGTTGATACTTGACAGCTCTCCATAGGGTTTCATTTATTTTGTTAGCAGCTCATTCCTTAAAACAGAAGCTTCAGATTGATTATAATAAGAGGAAATATGAAGGGTTTATTTCAAGGTTGTTATGTAAATTTGTTATTGGGCTTTTTTATTATCAACTTAGATTGGTTAGGACATGTTTTCAAATGTAATGGACTACATTTATTTGAAAATTGGGCTTATTAACACTGTGTAATATACTTGAACATATATATTTAAGAAGTACAATATAAGACAATTAGAAGATGATTATACTTTGATTCAGTCTACACTTTTTGAATTTCAATTCAAAATGGTCCGCGGGCCGCAGTTGGCCCCCAGGCCGTAGTTTGGATACGCTATAAGGCAAGGCAAGGCAAGTTTATTTATATAGCACCTTTTCAACACACTTCAAAGTGCTTTACAAAAATGAAAGACATTAAGAGCATTAAGAAATAGTGCAGTGGGAAATCATTATAAAATGGCATTTCAAAACAGTCATTAAAAAGCAAGGATAATAAAAGAAACATAAAAAACACATGGATAAAAGTTACAGTGCAGCGTGAGATGTGAATAGTTCAAATAAAAGCAGCGGCAAAAATAAAAGTCTTCAGCCTGGATTTAAAAGTAGTCAGAGTTGCAGCGGAATTGCAGGTTTCTGGGAGTTTGTTCCAGATATTTGGAGCATACTAAGTAAACTCTGCTTCTCCATGTTTAGTTCTGACTCTGGGGACAGAAAGCTGACCAGTCCCTGAAGACCTGAGAGATCTGGATGGTTCATAATTTAGCAGGAGGTCAGAAATGTATTTTGGGCCTAAACCTTCAAAGCTTTATAAACCAGCAGCAGTATTTTTGAAATCTATTCTTTGACACACAGTGTAAAGACTTCAGAGCAGGAGTGATGTGATCCTCTTTCTTAGTGTTAGTGAGGACTCGAGCAGCAGCGTTCTGAATCAGCTGCAGCTTTCTAATAGATTTTGTACTGAGACCTGTAAAGACACCATTACAGTAGTCGAGTCTACTGAAGATAAAAGCATGGACAAGTTTTTCCAAATCCTGCTGTGACATCAGTCTTTTAATCCTAGATATGTTCTTTAGGTGATAGTAAGCTGATTTAGTAACTGTTTTAATGTGACTGTTGAAACTCAGAGTCCATGACTACACCTAGATTTCTGGCTTTATCTGTTGTTTTGAACATTGCAGACTGAAGCTCAGCGCTAACTTTTATACGTTCTGCCTTTGCTCCAAAAACCATTACCTCAGTTTTATCTTTGTTTAATTGGAGAAAGGTTCTGACACGTCCAGTCATTGATTTCTTCTATGCACTTACTTTGAATTGGAGCATAGTCTCCTGGTGAAAAGTGTATGTAGATGTAAATGTCATCTGCATAGCTATGGTAACTTACTTTGTTGTTTTTGATTGTCTGTGTTTAAGTGGATGTCATTGAAGACCTTACCAAGAGCAGTCTCAGTGCTGTGGACGAAACATTTCCATTTGACTCACTCAGGGTCATCAGGTTTGTTGTTGATTCCCTGGTGTCGATACAGAACTCAATGTCCTTCAGGTATGTATTGAATGCAGTTAAATTATGGGCCTAAACCACAAAAGGAGCCTTACCCTCCACTTACAAATTCCTGTTGTCCCCACATCTATCCCATCCGAGACAAATATTTATGTTTACTCCTCAAACACAAAGTGAGCCATCCTTGGACCCATCCCTGCTGACAGACGACAGAGGACAGATCATGTTTTCCCTTTGTGTAAAACAAATGGGATTTGTAAAGACCTATATGTCCCACACCACTATACATTTAATAAGATCAAATTAAAATCAAGTTTCCCATGGTGAACCAACAGAGAATTATTTGTATTATAATTATTATTTAAGCTAATTTACTTGGTTTTACAGTCCACAAATGTACAGATTCAGTGTTGTCCCTCTCAACAACTCTTTTTCCAGAGGCCAAAAGCTACCTCCCAGCTACCACTAGCACTTCTTACACTGAGAGACCAGCAGCTGAAAGCATCTAGCAATAAAACAACCAGATATGTTTCTTATGAGTTGACGTAAGTGAGTGAATATGGGACTTACATGTGTCAGGTAGCCAGAAAACATGACAAATATTGCATTGCTCTGCGTCTGAATTCCAAATGTGTTTATCAGCTTATTGTGTGGTATTTCTACCACCTAGCTTTAAGTACATTTCTTGAGTCTTAGTGTTCAATATAGTTAAAGTTGTCAAAAACAATTAGAGATGCAACCTTATAACTGCTTATATATTACCATTCTGCCACATAATCAAAAGAAAATTGCTTATAATGTTGGAGAAACTTTTGTCGGCAAGAACCTTTTTTAGAATGTATGATTTGGCTGACTCCACATTTAATTCCTGATTGTTGCAGGTTTTGTATACATTTATATCAAATTGCAGTTGTGTAGATTTTATACAAATATGATTTTAAACCCAAAGCAACATTACATTCTACAGAATTCATAATGATTAAGTTGTGGATGACTAAAGCGTGTCTTACAATGAAACTGTATTGGGACATTTGTACGTTATATTTACAAAATGTGGATAGGACGACAGCAGGCAGTTGTGTGGTTCTTCTGGTGTATACATGTTACAGCAGCATTAGCATTATGTTACAGCAGGGCAGCTGGTCTCAAGATGTGAGTGAATGATGGTACTTCCTCAAACTTTAACCTGGGGCAACATACCAACAATAGATTTGAACTTGAATCAAGTTCAGTGAAGATAAATACCTTTAATTCTGTCTAAAACACAGGAAACCAACTCCTAAAGGTACAGTATTTAAGGTCCTTTGGGATTCATGTACAAATTCACATTAAACTAAGAATTACTCATCGAAACAATTATATTTGGCTTTTTCTTGTATATCTCTTTGATAATTTTCCCAGTCTACATGCTGCAAATTCCTCACTGTATCACAACGTACCGCACAGAGAGATGAAAGTGCACTGGTTTGCATTAATCACCAATGTGACACAAGCCTGTGTATTTGCTGACCTAGAGAGAAATAAAAACAAAAGCCATCTGTTTCCTTTCTAATGTATTGTGTCATTGTTATGACACTGATTTTAGTAAACAACAAAGAAATAAAGGAACAGAAAGGAGGAAGGAGAGAAATGTGGGAGTACAGTAAAGGCTATTTTTGATGCCTTAACTGGCAATCTGAAAATCCACTCTATGTTTGAGTCAACAAAGGGCAAACAGAGCAAGAAGAACACTAAGTCCAAACTATTCACTTTAATGCTTCAAATGTTTAATGTCTCATCTTCTACTTAAGTTAGCGGATATGTCTTTATTTATTTTGTGCAGACTTTGCTTTTCCTTGCTTTCAGTCATTCCCCCTAAGACTTAGTGAGTATAGTTCATGGTTGCTCCTCACTGAACACATAATCATAGCAGCGTCAAAAGTCTGAAACCAGCTAAATAAATAAATGTTAACTGTCTGGGTTGACTGCCCAATCATATAAATGTTTTATTTTTTCGACGCAATTTCTGCTTACCGGATTTTTTTTGTAATTTCTGACTCAGAGACAGATCACAATGACCAGTTTATAAGAAACAGGATTTACAAACAACTTCCCGCTGGGTCAGAAGCTACAGGATGCTAGTAAACAAATGAGTCTCACAGCTACTCATCATGCATGGAAAGTCCTGGAATACAACTATATGATTATATGAAGTCAGAGGAAACATAATTCAGGAGAACATCCTTATCTGCTTAATCCAACCCTGGCCAAAAAATCACCTGAATATGGGATAGTTTATTGTAGTTTCGGTTACTCAAAATATGGGCATTAGACTACATATTTGAATGAATGCATTCCTTTATATCTCTAAATCATATGTCCTGACATGACAGCTCATCTTTTTACAAGGATTTGTCCTCCCTTCCTCCCTCCTGTTCACCTTCCTACCAGCTGCAATCTCTTTTTTCAGATGTCTGTCTGAGTCACTTCATATCCTGTTTCCTCTCTTACCACCTTAAGGAATCACTTCGTAAATTAAGACTTAAAGAGACTGCAGAGTTGTCCGCAAAAAATAACTGCATCCTGATGTTAAGCAAAGTAAAATTCTGCTTGCAAATAATGTATCACCAACATGTGAAAGCCACGTTCCTAATTTCTACTGAGAGGCTTTTGAACGCTAACCTGAAGTGACCCGGAATTCAGAGTGAGCAAACAAAGAACACCGGTAAAGATGAACCCTTATCAGTCCCACAACTCCAGCAGTTTTCTAGTTTATAAGCAAACCTACAAGGGGATCTGATACTAAATACCTTATTAAGTAATTGTATTAATGCGTTCCTAATTACAATAACCCTTGAAGAAGAATCAGATTTAACATGCTTTATCAAAAACAGTGTTTTAATTGCAGTCAGGATCTCCAGTAACAATTATTTTCATCAACAATTAATCTTTCTTCTATACTCTCGATATATCCTTTAGTTTTATATGAAATAAAACAGGGAAGAGTAGGGACATCTATATTCTTCAATCAAAATGTTCTACTATTTTTGCATGAATAATTACTTTAATGATTACATTTTAGATGGGGATTGTTTTTCTGTGGATCAACTATGTGTTGCAGCTCTAAAATCTAGTTAATTGTATTTGTAACTAATGTGTTCAAATGAAAATAGATGCTGTTATCTAATAATTAGTGCCGTATGACATTGACATACAGGACAATAACTTTACCACCTTTTAGCACAAAGCAACAATGGACACAAGAGAAGTATGTCAGTGTAAAATTAGAGCTCTTTATTTATCATCTTCAACGATAATGTACATTTGACACAAAACACAGTGTAGTCTAAACTGTGGTCCAGAAGCGCCCTTCTTCTGCAGCGCCGTAGTATAAACACAGCTGCTCTGAGCTGCAGCTCTTGGAGGGCAGTTCCACTGACTGAACGGATGATGGGTTTTTTTTTATGGTTTTTCCCATAAAAAAGTTATTAAATAGTTTATTCCCAAGGTCAGCAATGCCACAGCGGCAGATAAACAATGCTCCCAAATTAAATTAGTTTCAGTTCTACTCTTGTGAACATGCAACTCTAATATCAAGCATTTAAAGTAATGACTTTATAATACACTTAGAATGTGTATACATTTCAATTAGATATCAGAATATTATTTTAAATAAGGCTTTTAAATTATGTTAACCACACAATTAATTCAACCGATGCAATATACCAATTACAAAAATACATAGAAAAATGTTTTCTTTTCTAAAAGACCAGAGAATGAACATGTTCCCCTTAAGACCAAAGTGAATCAACAATCGATAAAACTGGACATGTTTTGGTAAATGTAAGCCTTTAGCTTCGTTCCAGATTAACGCAAATCTCAAAAGCAACACTTGCATAAATACTTCAAAGCTATGCGTCTATGAAATCGTATTTCCCTCCATCACTTCTGTGCTGAGTACAAGTGACAGATTTAAATAACCTTTTCAAGCGCAAACCTTTTGGATTGTGAAAACGGATGAAACCACGGAGTCTATTCCTCGTTATCGTCTTCTCTGATCTCTACCTTCACTCTGTGCCAGGCGTTACTCAGGACCCCCCTCAGGTTCCAGATGGGAGGAACGGTGTCTGGCTGCATGTTGTAACTGTTGTCAACCGCTTTACAAACTATCTCCAGCTCCTGAGCCTCGGCAGGAAGAGGTGCCGTCACCTCCCACAGCTTCCAGGCCCAGGCCCGTCCCGGGGGGGGTGAGGGTCCGGGGGCTTGTCCCTTCTCACTGCTCCTCATCTGGGCCACCTGCCACGTCTTCCCTCCATCCAGAGAAACATCGACACGCACCACCTCTCTGCCCCCTCCACTCCAGGCGTACCCCTTCACGGTCACCTCTTCAGAACTGCGGTCCACCACGGCCCCGTCTGTCGGCACGGTGATGGCCGACTGGATGGGGAGCTCCTGAATGGCCGGAGCCGACTTGAAGTCCACCGTGTCCCAGTCCGTCCCGGGGGCGAAGCCCTTGTAGTCGTTCTGCTGCCAGTGGCTGCTGCTTTCCTCTGCACTCACTATGATTTTCCCCAGCCACTTCACGTTGCGTGCGCCCACTGTGCCCGGCACCACAGCACGCACCGGGTAGCCGTGGTCGGGGGGGATATCCTGGCCGTTCATCTCATAAGCCAGCAGGACATCCCCTTCCTCATTAACGGCCTTGTTTAGAGGGATGGAAGCACCGTATGTCGTCCCGGTCACGTCTTTGTCCAGTCCTTCAAACTGAACGTGGAAAGCGCGCTGAGCCACATCGGGCGAGTAACCAGCGGCCAGCAGCACGTCTCTGAGCCTCGCCCCCCCCCACGTGGCGTTACTGATCGCAGCGATGCCCCAGTTCAGCCCTTTCACCTGCTTCACCTTGTTCATCTCTGAGCGGCGGTTACCGGCACACTGCAGCGTGGCTGTGATGGTGTGTTTGGGGAATCGAGTCTTTAACTCCTCTAAAGAGAGCGTCAGAACTCCGCCAGGTAGCCCCTCAATGTGCAGCTGATATGAAGCCGCGTCCACCTGGGGGACGGGCAGGTGGTTCCTTTTGAAGAAGATAGCGGAGGGGGTGATGAAGCTGTCAGAGAGGAGCTCAGGAGGCGGCTCTGCGTTGAAGGGCTTCAGGTTGTTGATGTGCAGGGCAGGGTGGCGCTCGGGCTCCGTAGAGTAAGGGTCTGATGTCTTGATAGCCCTTTGCTTCTTCACATCTTCTGCACTCAGCTCTCCAACCTTGTGTTAAACAAAGAAGAGTTTTATTTGGCACTCTTATGGCAAAAAGTTGAAAAGCCTTCGGTCAGATGTTTTTGCGCTTAAATTCGAGGAAACATATATAATGCTTGAAGACGCAGAGCTTTGTTAACAACCCAAGTGTATGAGCACAAGCGAGCCTTCTTCAGGGTTCTTGCTTTTACAATTTTATCATTAAATATCCTTATTTAATCTTATTAAAGCTTTTTTAAAAGTTTTTCCAGATGAGTGACTTGGATTGGACATGAGCAAGTGTTTTTGTTTCTAATGACAGCTTGAAGAGTGCCAGTATTTAGCCTACAGCTGCTCCTCAGTATACAGTACGCAGTAGACCTTTTCATATGCGTCTTCTGCGACAGACAAAAATAAATGAGAAGTTCATTTCAGGATAAATTCAACATCCCCTTCAAACTAATTAGTTTGGCATTTTTCAAATGTTCTATTTCTCAAAGATACAGCAACATTTTTAATGGATTTGTATAATAAATAATTGCTTAAGGGGATGTTATTTGTATGTGTATTGTGGCTTGCAAACACTTGAGTATCTTGTCCTTGTGTCAGTAAACTGTGATGGATGTTTTCAAGCGACAAGCTGAGAAATAATATTTAGGCCGTTGTGTCCTTGGTCACGGGACACACTCTACCCGCATTTGCTCCTGTGGGTAATGTCCACAGTATTGACATTTACATGTCTAATATGTGTAATATGTAATTGTAAAGCGCTTTGAGCACCTGTAAAAGCGCTCTAATTAAAAAATGTAATCCATTATTATTATTATTATTAAAGTTTATACCATATTCTTTTCTATGGCTCATATATTTAGAGTATTTCTACTCTTTTACTTATATTGCACGGTGAAGCTGCCTTTGGTATGTTACATGGTTAAAATCAGTAAGTCAGGGACAGTTGAAAGTTAATGGTCTTGAGTATATTGTAGCTGCAAATCTCAGACTAACCAATATTGGCTCGGTGTTTGGCGTTGGTGGCTTTGTGATGAACGCCCTGTCTGGTGAAACTTGTTCCACCCAGTGAAAACCCTTTATTCCAAGATACTCCCATGTTTATATCCTGCCAATAGTTACTGGTTTTATATTCAATATGCTGGGCTTCTTTTTTACTTACAGTCATTAGACTTACAATACTCGTGGTTTAAGAGGATAGTTGTGTCTTTTTTCTTTTATAATTTGGATGAACACAACTTTTTTTAGGTAAACTATTAACAGAAACCATGAATGGACCCACCTTATACTCTGAGAGCATTTCCAGCACATGTTCCTGGTTGTGTACAGCGTACAGTGCCCAGAAAGGTTCAAGAGCTCCCCCTGCTGCCAGCAAAATTTTATCCCCTCCAGGGTGCATGGCCACGAACTCAGTGATATCGTAGACGCCTCCTTTGAACGTGACCCAGATGCCATGTTCCAGGGAGCGGTGAGTGGTCACCTCCTCCTGACTGATGATAGGAAACGCTGAGGTCTTCTTTATGGTCTGCACTGTGCTGGAGTCCTGTTGCTCAGCCTGCACCGGAGAGAAAAGAGGATACATTCATTGTGTTATCCTTCAAAAATTACATTTGAAAAACAAGTTGACTGGAAACTAATAATCCAGTTTAGAAGAATTGTAGAGAGCATGTTGCAAAAAATCCTCTTGCTCAGTACAACTGTGATTGAGAGGTCACCTGGATTAGTTTGTGTTTACTTTGTTAATGTCATTATTTGTCACTTTTATGCCTAGAGTTTTATGGGCGGAAACAGCAGTGTTTGTTCTCATGTTTGCACACGGCGACAGAACTGTGCTAGGTGTGTTTAACCTGACGCTATGATTATCTTTAGCGGCGATCCCTGTTATCTGAACAGCCTCTGTAGACGACATACAGACTGAGAGCAATGTTACATTATACTGAAACCTTAGGAGAAGCATATCATAAACTCTGGGTCGATACTAGGGAGCTCATTTCTTATGTGGTATGATACATGGAACTAAAATAAATGTGGATTAAGTCACAAAGTGTAAACAATTCTATTTAGAAATATATTATAGGAAAAAAAAAAAAACGAATATTGTTTATTGAAGTCATCGTTGGTCGCTTTGGATAACAAGTGTGAGCTAAATGACATACAATTTACTGTAATGCAATATCCCTGTGGACACACAGGGCAAATGTCAAAGTAAATGTTTGGTATTTATCTGTGTTTATACATAACAAACATTTCAAATCAGATTTCTGATTGAGTGTTCTCAAGTCTGAACTATTTACATCTTCTAAAGAAATGTTGCAACCAGCTAAACACAGGAGGTGTGCTAAGCATGTTTGCACATTGAGTAACAAAAGATGTGGGAGTGAAAATTGACAAATGAGCTGACAGACGCTCCTGAGCATTGCAAACCAACAGATGGAGGCCCTCACTTTAAGGGGGTGTAGTGTAAATGATTTTCCTCTAAGACAGTTTAAAGTGGCCAAATCCTAAATGTGTTATTAAATTCCACCTTGTACTACATTAACACATCTAAACTGTGTTGCTCTAGAGATCCACATATGATTCATTAAAGTAAGGTATGTGGCAAAGAAGTGCAGCAAGTGCAGAGCAGCAGTAGCATGATACGGATCCAGATGTTTGATGAATCTTTACCTGGTTAATATATTTAAATTAATATTTAAAAAGTATGATACTTATCATGTTTCAATTTCTTTAGTCTAGAACAGGGGTGTCAAACAAAATTTCATTGCGGGCCACATTAGCATTATGGTTGCACTCAAAGGGCCGGTTGTAAGTTTAAGACAATATAAATATACACATATAAATATATAATATATATGAAATAATGTATTATATTACATTATTGGCTCTGCATTGGATTATTATCAGTTCTGGTAATAACTTCATAAATAACTACGTCTGAAAGCAGAAATCTAGGGCAAACTACTTGAAAGCAAATATTCAACAATTACACCAATTGTATTGTATATTATATTCTTTGCAAGTTCTTGTGGGCCACATAAAACGAGGTCGCGGGCCAAGCCTTGAGTTTGACACCCCTGGTCTAGAAATCATAGGAAAAGATGCTTGATATACTTTGCCTAGGGAAAGCTAAAGAAGTTAAACATCGTCTTTAAAGATCTGTTCTCCTCCTAACCTTGTGGTGGTGGAGGCCATAAGCCAGGACAGCCCCGGTACCGGCCAGCAGTCCTGCCAGGCCATGTCTCCATCTGGGACCGTGGGCGCGCTGGTAGGACCCCCCATCCTCACTGCTGCTGCTCCAGAGACGAACTGCACACGACACTACAGCAGGGGTCACTTGATGCCTGTGAAATTAAACAAATACAAATGTGACTTTTATGCAGATCAAACCAACCTCATTATTGTGTTCAACCGAATGTTCAAGGATAACAAAACTATTGACTAAATAAAAGATAAAAAAGGGAATGAATATCTATTATTTTGCTCAAACACAGCTTGAGTTTGCTGTTTTAGTTTCCTTTATTTAACCTTTGACCAGGTGGAGAACAGACCAAACCTAGCTGCTGACAGTGAAGAACCACTGAATTCCAACAGTATAATAACGCAGTGTACCTTTGAGTGTTGAGAGGTCCAAATCTAGTCAGGCTGTGGCAGCGTCTGAGGAGCAGCATTGCACTGGTATACTGGGAAGAAATTGAGATAAGAAAAAAAGGTTAATTCACGGTGAAATAAACAGAGCATATCTATCAGATAATTAATATGTTAACCCCTTTGAGTGCAGACCAGAACTAGTGTAGTGCAGGAACCTCTAGTGAAGAGCAGACAAACTCAAAATTCACAACAAAAATATTTACGGTCATCTGGGCGCCGACTAATGCTTGCTTTACCACCAAGATTACGGTACATGCTGTAGCTATAATAATAATGAATTACATTTATTAGAGCGCTTTTCCAAGTTATAAAAAAAATAACTATTAGACCTGCAACAATTTGTCAAATAATCGTTGAATCAACCGACAGGGCAACACATTGATAAACCAATCATTGTTGCAGACTTTTTTTTTCTTTTTTTTAAATTCAAATGTTTTCAGCCTTTAAAATATGGTCATCTTCTGCCCTTCACCATAACTCCTCATATTGAACAGAATAGCTTTACGTTGTTGACTGACAAAGCAAAACATTTCAAACGCTTGGACTTTGAGAAACATGGATTACTTTGGACTATCTTCAGCAATGCTATCATTAACGACATTGGACTTTACAGATGAACACAGTAGGTCAGAGTTTCAGACGTCCAACAGTCGTACAGGTTACAAGCTCTGTCTCTGCTGTGTCAGGACACAGTGGACGTCACATAGAATAGCTGGTGAACACAAAAAGGCTAATGTGTGTAAAACATTTTTACTTCAAGGCTAAGTAGAGTCTGATATACCATTTTTATTTTCAGCATACCTCACCAATCCTTCTCTGTCTTTACAGCCAACATGTGTTAGGGGAAAATGTCAAAATGAAGCTGGACACCTTAAAACTCCTCCTGAACTGACCAACCAGCTCGGGGGGCGTGAACAGAGAGAGGGCTGGGCTTCAGTTTCACTTTTCTCTGACCTCAGACATGTTGGTGGATGTGTAACTCCCTTTTAGTGACCAAGGTTGGTCATGCATACAATAAAGAAACCAACTGTACCCTGTGTTCTTCTGTTGGTAATACTTTGACGCTTTGACAATAAAAGAAGAACGTTACCCCAGTATTAAACAAGTGACACAATGTCATTAAGCTTTAAGGAAAACATCTCTGGGGAGGGCTGCTTTACAAGAAAATATATGACTGACTAACTTACAGGTGAAAGGAAACAGATTACAGGAGCACCGGACCAAAACCTGAAGCACACACTTTTCTTGGATGAGAAAATAAGTAAATCATCTAAATATAAATGTGTTCCAAGTAGTTTGGTGAACAGAGAAAATCTTACTAACACATTAAACAAAGCTCTGCTTTAACATTCAATCACACCTGTCTTATCAGTCAAAAGTGTCTCTTAAGATTACTCAGGGTTATCTTCAACCAGCTTTTACCACCTCAGTACGCCAGCCAGCAGCCAGACGAGTGCCAGTAAAAGTCCAGGAGTTCAGAAGGTGAAATGGTAATCTGCTACTGTTTGGATAGGATTGAACTACTGTTGCTGCTTCTCAATATTTCTGACTCAAAATAATGTTGAAATAATTGTTTGATCTTTGTCAATCAGTCAACTAATTTATCGTTTTGGTCTCAGTTGAGTTAGGTTTTCTTTACTCAGCAAGTAATTCTTTAATACCGACTGACTTTTACCATGAAAATTATGAGTACCTGTTTGGTAAACACACAATTTAAATTGAAGCTTTTGAATGATTATTCGTTAAGCAACTCAGTTTTGGAGATTTGTCTATTAAACTAATCGGTCAGTCGCCAAAATTAAGCTTTTGTTTACCAAAAACTCCTTTAGCAGATGGCAGCACTTTATAATTCACATGGTAACAAAAATGTCAAGGAAAAACAAAGTTTAAACACGTTTTTGCTACATATCGTGAATTGTAACATCAATGTAACAACTGAACACATAATCAATGGTATAAAACGGTATTTTGGTGATATTCCTTTCCAGCAATACCATTTGAATTCCTATGTGGTTACAACAGTCATATTTCTAATTCTTTTTTTGTAAACTGAATGACTTATTTCCAGTGGTGTAAAAGTACTAATACCACAGTCTAAACATAATCTATAACAAATAAAAGTCTTGAGTTGAAAATGTTACTTAAGTTATATTACAGAAGTATTATCAGCTAAATGTACTCAAGTATCAATAATAAAAGTACTATAAAAGAGTAATATTATTATAGAATATTATATGATTCTGTTTTATCATTAGAAAAGACATACAAGTGTTTTTACAATATAAAACACGTGTATTTATGGGAAAAGTAACTACAAGTGTCAAATAAATATAGTGCAGGAAAAGTAAATTTCCCTCTGACAATGCAGTGAAGTAGAAGTACAAGGGGGCAGAAAATGGAGATATACTCAAGTAAAGTACCGCAAAATACATAATTTGAGTATTATCTACTCAGTTACATTCCACCACTGCTTATTTCAACAACAAAAAAACATCAACAAAAAACGTATGAGCACATCTCTCGTAAGAAAGTGATTTAAAATGGTATCTTTTCCTGATCCTTGAGTCTTCTCAGTTATACATACATGTATATTAATAAACTATTTGATTAGCTGACACAAAAAGTAAGTGTTAGTCGACTAAGCATTTCTTATTTATTTGGTGTAGGAAAGGACAGCCCTAAATATTCCACATAAACATTTCCCCCACTGTCATATTTTGTGTTAGCTACATCACAGTGAGGGCTCTGCCGAGGTGAACACATTACAAAACCAATTCAGATTACGAAACATTATGAATAACAACACATTGGTAAACATTGGCTATAAACTTTTACCCTGACACAGGTCACCATCACTATCCTCACACCTCACTTAGCTAACATTCAAATTAGCACTGTTAGCATGTCCGCCTTCGCCCCCTTACTCAGATGAGTTCATAAGAAGAAGCAACGTGAAAGATAGTTTCCGATTGCTCATATTAAAACACAATCGTTACTCACTTCTGTTTAGTCAGTCGCCTGCTTGAACTCGGCTGCTCTCCACGATTCACAACCGGGATTACGAAATGAATGCTTTGAACTGTTATACAATAACTGACCGAGCTGCGTTCAAGACAACCAACGTTAGTCAAATGTGAACTGTATGAGGTGGACACCAAACGCCTCTCTGCAGAACAGGCGAAGCAAATACATATAAAACCTGCATCAAATCATTAATCTGAAAGGATTTCAAGCTTTATCTAATCCATCTAACAAATTAGTCTCAACTTCTTACAATTCTATTGCAGTTGTTAATTATTAATCACATTTACAGCCACATTATTTCAATAACCATAAAGGGCGGCTCATTAGGAAACATTAGCAACGAGTACCATAATCTGAATCTGTACTAGTATTTGAAGTGAATATCTGTCACTGGCATGGTCACTGGTCTGTGGCAATTTGAGTGTAGAATCTAACATTTGAAATGTGCAGAAGAATAATTCAATATTATTTGGAGAATAAAATTGAAATGGTGAGGACAATTTCGAGCCTAAAGGTCATTATTTAAAATAAGACTGTATTTTCGAAAAAGTTCAATAAAAAACGTACTCATATTCTTGCAACCCTAATACACTTTCTTACATATTAAAACATTTACCCAACATCAGGGCTTTTTGCCCCAGGGCTTTCCAGTATTCATACTAACACATTTTACTAATTTTGTATTAGTATATCAGTAGGGGAGAGTGGGGTAAATTGAGCCATTTTTTAGTTATGCTGTCCTCTAAAGCAAGGAGAAATTACACATAGTAAAAATGAAAACACACACCTGTAATTCAGGATGTCTCCTATCAATGGCAATGATAATAATTCATATTTGATCAAGGACAGTGAAAATATTACTTCTTTAAAAAAAAGAATTATTGTGGCTCAATTTGCCCCAGTGTAGGGGTAAATTGATCCAGGTCAGGGGGTAAATTGAACCACGGTTCAAACCTGGGCATACCTGTTCAAACCTGGGCACACCTACAACAAATCTTAAAGGTAAGCTATA